GCGATGACGTCGTTTCCATGGCTGCCAGAGTACAGTCATAGAAAGAGAGGGCATGGTGGCAACCGAAAGAGACGACAGCAGGGCGACAGAGAGGGAGGATAGGGGGGAAGAACTTTATATAGACAACGCATCGCATGCATAAACTACAGAATTCCTTTTAAAGCGTAAAACTGCATCCGATAGATACAAAGATGCTCACAGACAGAAGTACACACACACACACACACTCGTAGAGACTAAAGATACAAGCTGAGAGACTTTTCCTCAGTCTATACATCTATCTGCGAATGCATCTCTGCAATTGTAGATGTGGTCTCTCAGGTTCATATATGTGTGCGTTTCTCTCTGTGTATTTACTTTTCACATTGCATTGCTCATATTTACGTGAAATTCAATTTGCAAACATTTTACGTAGCCCTTTGTTTGCTGAAGTTTCAATTGTAGTTTTTGTTTCTTTTTCATCAACCAGCTCAGCTCTCTTTTTATCTTTTATATACTTTTGCACTTATTACGCATTAATTTTAAATTATTTTTAAAGAGAAGAAAATTTATTGAATTCTTATAGGCAGTTTGTTTGCCTTAAGATATTTTTTTTATTTTGTATTTCCAAATTGTATAAGCCCTAAGAAACTCGATCATTCTACAACTGCGGTTTTATTTGTATAAAGTATATCATGATCTTGTTTTATATTTCAACTTCTAACTAAACAACTTCTCCGATTGCGTTGCCTTTTCCACAGCAAAATCAAGGCTAAATTCTATCCATAACTCGATGCTACTCCTCGTATTACTCTAACCCAATATCAACTATCATATTTTTGCAGCGGCAGCGCTATTATTTCAAAGTGTTTGCTAAACAATCAAATTATTTGTATAAATAAAGAACCATGACATCAGCAACTGCTGACAGCTGAGTGGGAGTTGCTCGGTTGCAAAGCGGTAGGAGTCACAGATACAGCTAACCAATACAACTGCAGGATGCACAAAATCAATGTCAAAGCCTGCTGAGTTCAGTTTGGCGAGCAGGCAAGGACATGGGGCAGTGTGAAAGAGCGAAACGCAAAAACAAAATCACCGCTTGACTGACGACATATGCACTGCACTGGATGCCCAAGTACCACCTATACCTCCGGCTTCTCCGACGATATCCCCCTAATATGTCCCCCTCTGATATATGTTCCCCCAACTGGTTTCCAGCTGTGAGACGACTGCTGCTGGGCGGCGAGTCGTAGGGTACGAAAACACGACGGGACAGGACTGGAGATACAGGAATAGTTCCCCAGCAATGTTAGTTCAAGGGCGGAATCAAGGCTGAGCTCGGTTTTGGAGCTCCCAGCTATAAATAGCAGCTCTCTCTCTGTCTGTGACCAGACGGCATAGTTCCCTCTCGTTCGCACTGTACACCACACGGCGTATACGCAATAGCTGCAACTCACCACAGAAAAGGAAATTGCACGGCATGTCCTTCGGCGTTCGTTCGGTCCTTGTTGTTGGCATTGTTGCATGCGGCTTGGCATCCTCTTTGCACTTGAACCATTGTCCTTTGGCACCTCTACTCATCCCTTTCACATTTACCCAACAACAACAATCAAGGAAAGGAGTTCAAATGGTACGAATGAAGGAAGTAGGAAAAGTACTACCACTTTTATATATATTTTTTTATACTTTTTGTTTGAAAAGTTTTCAAGTCCTGAAAGGATTCTATAAATTCACATTTACTTTGATTTTAGTCTTATATATTTGTAAGCATCTTTATTTATGTAATGCTTTTATGATATTCATTTTAAGATTTTTAAAATAAATTTAATAGCCTTTAACAGGGTTTCTTTCATGCCCTTAGAAGCTTACTCTTAGGTACCACTCTTTTAAATTCCAAACAAGTTTAACATACTTTTATATGACATTCTATTATTGTGCATTTCTCAATTTAAAATAAAAACAATTTTATTTGATATTTCAGCAGTACTTCCCTACTTTAGTCGTATTCATTTTGTTGTGAGCTTTGATTTCTATGGAAATGCTGATGATGAGTAATTCTAGTTGTAGATACACAACATGAGGAAATGGTCGAGAGAGGGAGAACCATCAAGTGCAATGGAATGCCTCTGGGGCTTGCAGAGAATTTAATAATTGACTGCCCATTCTACTTTAAATACTTCACTCAAGGTCAAAAGGAAAAGCCGAACAATGAGTCAGAACTAAACTAATTATAGTTTTACTAAAGTAAAAGAATGAATTTGTGTGGAGTATTGAAAATACCATTTTTCGAAGCTATTAAAAAAAAATATTTTAATTAGCTGATATAGGCCAAAATTCAAAATTAGAGAAAACATCACAAGATATTTTAATAAAAAACTAAGTTAAAATTTGTAAAAAGAAAATAACTTAAGGTTTGTAGGATATTAAAACTGTTTGACATGCGGAAAATAACTGGGAAAACGTGCTCTGCGGTATATGTTTTAAACTCATCTGCTCCGATTAATTATATATATATATTGGAAAAGGCGATTAATCTGTTCATTATCATTATCAGTCAAAGGGGGGCCATTCGAGGCAAAGGCCGAGTGCATTCAACTGCCGTTGGCATGACGCGCATTTTAATGATATAAAATATGTAAAGCCAGAAACAAAAAGAATCGAATATGAAAAACATTTAAAAATGCAACTCCAGACTTTTGTGGATATTTTTAAAATGCCTAAGAATTAATTTCTCAATTTTAATTATATTTTTAAGTACTTTTTTTCAGCTGCTTCTTCTTTTTGCATGCGAACAAAAGCGCACGAATACCACTGCAGTTATGTATGCTTGTGTGTGTGGGCTTGTGGTTGCTCGTGGTGTGTGTATGCGTGCATGTGCATGCGCAGTGCAATTTGAATTTTATTGTTGTTGGCATTCGTAGGGCCCCTGCTTGTTGTTTTTGTTATTTTTCCTTATTCGCTTTTGCCCTGCACTTTGCTTTTCGATGTGCATATGTGTGCGTTTGGGTCGTGTGTGTATGGGTATGACTTCATTTCCTTTGTCGTAGGTCATCATCAATTTCACAGAAAATGCGTTTTAATTGCCTTCAATTAGTTTTCACAACGAAAGTTGCAGCAAAGAAATGTTTCATTTAATTTAATATTTTGTCAAAAAGAAATTCGAAAGGTATACAAAATGTAAGTTTAAAAGGAAAAAATGAATAGTATTGGAAGAATAATATTCATTTTTGCAAAGACATTTTAATAAAATCAACATTTTGAAGCATTTTAAGTTCAAATTTTAGTAACTCTTCAACCTTTTATTTATTTTATTATTTCGATATTTTATATTATTTTGGCTTTTTGGGATCGTTTCCAATCTTTTTAACGTGTAAAATTCTAAAATCTTCTTTTATTTCACATTTTTACGCACACCGTGGATCTTTTTATAATAATTAATTGCGAGTTAATATTTTTAAAAGGGTTTTTGTCTAATATCACTGTAAATATTTATTGCATTTTTGCGCTGCAATGCCGCTAGCACCAAGCATTTCAAAGTCGCGTCCCACACTGACAAAAGGGTAGAGAACTTATTCACCAACGCATTTGGCAGCCAGGGTTGCCACCTTGCAAAAAGCCCCACAAAATAAGGAAAAAAAAGAGTGACGACGGGCAAAAATGGTAATAAAAGCAAATGAATCGCACCAAGTGCATCCAATGCACACACACAAAGAGGGGTAAATGCATGGGGCAGTGCAAGCAGAGGAGGGAGAGGAGGAGGCGAGCAAGCCGGCCGCTTTTTGCGTGGCAATTTGTTTGTGTGTATTGCAATTTCTGGCTGCACTCTCTCGTTCTCTCCCTCTCTCTCTCTCTCTGTCTTCCACACAAATACTCGCAAGTACGTAAGATTTAGGCTACATATATTTTTTAAATATATTTTTCCCCTTAGTAATCTGTATTTTAATCAATTTTCTTGCTTACCAGTGCTGCAAAGCGTCAATGCACCCACACGTTTTCTGCTTTTTTTTTGGTTTGGGGACAGAGAAGTCGAATGCACCTGTCAAATGCAAGACATATCTCTTCTTTTAAGACCACAAAAATCCGTCACGAATTGCAGTGTAGTCACGCACACACATACAGCCAATACGAGTACCATCACACGCACACAGTTGCAGCAAGAAGAGGAGCGCGCTACGCGAACCGCCGTGTGCAACGAGACTTTTGCAAATAAAATGCAATTTTCAATTCAAAATTCCCGACAAAAGAAAGCGTCGCCGGCAGAGGCAGAATCAGCGACAGCGACGTAAGCTGCATAAATGACGCTCAGTGAAAAGTAAGAGCATGCAAAGCTTGCAGTTACTCTTAAATCAGGGGAATGGCTTGTTCTTGTTTTTGTATCTGTGAGTATAACTCTCTCTTTTCAGAGTACTCTGATGTAGTTGTAGTGCAGTTTGAATTTGCAAACTCATTTTATGTTCTTAACATGCCATTTTTACATTTCCATTTTTAACAGTAACGTGCAAAAAAAAAGTTGTTGAATAAACGTGCCCTTTTAATGTGATTAAGGTATGAAGACAAAATATAATTTTTTAGAATTATCCTAATTTAAAAATTGTATTAAAATAAAACGTTTTTAACTGTAGTTACGTATAAAACGTTAAACATATTATTTATGCTTTTTCTAGGGAATAATTTTTCTTTAAATTAAATTCCTGTTTCCAATCTCACCTTACAAACTGAACCAGTAAAGGGCTATTACTTCTAGCCAATGCCCCCAAATTAACAGGGTGTTAAAAGACTTAAAGCAGGTTGTCCAAAAAACACATTCCACAACTCCCACTAACAAGATCCGATCCATTTGAAAGCTTTTTTGGCCACATTTCTAAGGAGGCGCACTAATAACAATTTTGATTTCTATTTCGGCCGTAGCGGCGCTTTTCCAAAGTTTTGATAGATAGGTTTGAGGCACAGGTAGTTTAATTAGTCCGGTCACACTGGCCACACTGGGCCTGTAAAAACGATTACTGACAAAAGGTATCGATATTATCGAAATCGGTTCTTGTTCCCAGCTCTACCGCACTCGTGCGAACTTATTTTAATAATAAATTGAATTTATTAATTAAAACCGAGCGATACCGTAATGGCATCCATCCTGAGGACGGGTAAACTGCTGCGTTATTTCGCTGGCTTCACAAGAAACGTAGTTGTGAGCTCGGTGCGCGAAAACGAGTCGAGTAATCTGCTAAACAATGCGCCCTGCATGTGCGGGCAGTTCCAGAAGTGAGTAAAAACCATACAAAGTACCGGCATTACGCAATGCATCCATATATTTATGTAAATAGTACGATATTTAGAAATTTCACATTTATTAATAGCTGGCTAGAAAGAGGCATTTCCTTTTAAGTGGGGTACTTTAGCTAATCAATGGGTCTAATATTTACATAACCTCATCCTAAACTAAGAGCCATCTATTTGATCATACAATTCTTGTCTTAAAAGGTCAGATTAAACTAATCACGATTTCATGTAACTCTCCTTACTCAATGATATTTAATGTTAGAACACTTCTCCGAAGGTTGGCTAATAAGATACAATTTACTTATAATTTAAATTAAAACAATATTATCCCCTTAGTGGATTTGCCACAAATGCCGCAGCCAAGGCCGAGCTGAGTCTGGAAAAACAGATTCGCCGGTTGGACCAGGATGTTCGCCGGATCGGTCGCATTTCTCGACGGGATCTGGAGGAGGTGCTCGATGAGATCCGCACCCACAGGACGGCCACCAGTTCGCAATCTTTGCTTGTCATTCGCTGCTGCGGTAACTTGGTACCTGAGGAGTTGCCGGAAGTCAGAACGGCGTTGGTGCAGGAGATCTGGAAGACCCTGAATGCCCTGAATGTACCGATGGACATCTCCCATTACAATGCCCTCCTTCGAGTTTATTTGGAGAATGAGCATGGATTCGCACCCACTGATTTTCTAGCGGAGATCGAGGCAAAAGGTATTGAGCCCAATAGGGTGACCTATCAGCGACTGATTGCTCGTTACTGCCAGCAGGGAGACATCGAAGGAGCCACCAGGATTCTAGAATTTATGCGGGCAAAGAGCCTTCCTGTCAATGAAAATGTCTTTAATTCTCTGATCCTGGGACATTCACAGGTTGGCAAATTAAAATAAAACAAAAGGTAATATGTAACTATTATGTTCAATAACTTCACAGGCCAACGACTTGGAGTCCGCCAAGGGGATCCTGGGAGTGATGAAGCAGGCAGGATTGGAGCCCAGTGCGGACACCTACACGACTCTTATATGTGCCTTTGCCCGACACGGAGATCTGACTGCCCTGAAGGAAACCCTTGCCGAATGCGAGCAGAAGGAGATAATTTTGCTAGACAAAGATCTTCTGGATGTCGTGTACACTCTCACCGTCAATGGCAACGGAGAGCAAGTGGATGAGATACTGCCCAAGTTACGCCTCTCGCCCGGTTTCAACCAGGATGCAGTGAATGTGATCCTCCGCCTGGTAAACAAGGGACACGAGGATGTGGGTTTGAAGCTCCTCCGAGTGATGCCAAGAAGCAGTCGTGTAAATGGCGAACCCGTAGATGTGGGAGCCTTCTTTATCAGGCAAATGGTTAAGGCTAACCGACCAGTGGAAAAGATCCTATCCATCTGCAAGGCCCTGCAGTCAGAGGGTCTTAATCCCAAAGCTTTGACAATCGCTACCGAAGCCGGATTGACAAATGGTGTGGTTAACAATGCCCTTCCACTGCTGCAAGAGATGAAGAATGCTGGTTTGCCCATTAGACAGCATTATTTCTGGCCTTTGATCTGTTCCGTAGAATCCAATCAGGTTCTGGAAATCGTACGTCGAATGCAACAGGAGTTTGCAGTTTTTCCCAACTCCGAAACAGTCAGGGATTATGTGATTCCAAACTTGAAGGAGAAGAACTGGGAGCGAATTGTCACCGCCTTGAGGGATGCTGGAGTTCCTAGCTCCACTGCTGTTACCTCTGCGGTTTACTCTGCCTTGGTTACCCACCAAATTGCGGATGCTGCCAAAATTATGGAGCAAAATAGGGCTTACTATGTGCCCGTCTTGTTTAGGCAACCACTGATCCTGGCACTCAGTCATACGAATGATTATGCATCCTTCATCCGCTGTGTCCGACAAATACACGAAGGCTTGCAATTAAGACAACCCAAGGAGGAGGAAGGCGAGCAAGTTGAAGGCGGAGCTGCTGCTCCCGTGGAACGCAATACTCCCGATGTTGTTGGAGGAATTCTTCAGGAGGCAACCACTTATTTCCGACGAGATCGCGCTGCCACTCTGGAGAAAATTCTAAAGGGATTGGTTAAACAGGGATTATCCATCAGCAGTGCCAAAGCAACTCAGTTGTCCGATCAATTGGGGTCCGAATTGACTCCTAAGATCTCGGAACTCCTTGGTAAATTGAGCTCGGGTGAACTAGAACCTGTTCCTCTGCCAAACAGCGGAAAAAGGAGCTTGGACACCCTGTCTATTGATGGTGAGTAATATCTCGTATTGTTGGTAAACATTATTCCAAATAATTTCTTATCTTCTTCAGAACTCGAGCGATTCATTGTCAATGTGGAGGCAAAGGGAGAGAATGCCAATAACATCAAGAGGCAACTTTTGAACGCCTGTTTCCGTTCACAAAATCTGGAAAAAACCCTTCAAGTTATTGAGAAACTGGATACCGATAAATATCAGATCCCCATTGGCATCTATGCGCAGCTTATCGACCTGTATACACATCACAAGAAGAGTTCCGAGGCCTTGGAAACCTTTGATAAACTGAAAGCGAAGGATCCAACCTTCCAGTTAGATAACCTAAAGGCTGTTCGTCTGGCTGATCTTCTCCTGCAAGAGGAACGTGTTGATGCTGCTTTCAAAGTGTTGGAAGACAACAAGAAGGATTCTCCAATAGCTGAAGCTGAGGGAAGCTTTAACTACGTGAGCACCGTGTGGAGAGTTTTTAACTCAATCGCCGAAGCTGGTCAGCCAGAAAAACTGAAAAAATTGTTTGATGCCCTGGTGGCGGCCAATTATATTGTGCCCACTAATGTGCTTCTGGGTCCACTGATCAAGGTTCACCTGGTCAAGGATGATATTCCGAAGGCCATCGAAGCCTTTGAGGAGATTTGCCAGAAGTATAAATCAACTCCTTGGAAAAATGAGCTAGCCTGTCGCTTGATCCAAAAGGAAGATGCCGCGAATCTGCAGAAGCTGACAGATTTGAGCACTGGAATTCATGGTGAGGTCAATAGCTTATACGATCTTGTCTTCTCTTTCGTCGAGTGCGGACGTGTGAGACAAGCCAGGAAGATTTTAGAAACTCCCGGATTGCGTACTCGTCCTCAGAGAATCAGCAGTGCCTGTGATCGTTATAAAAATGAGGGATTGCTTCAGCCCCTAGAAGGTCTCATTGAAGCCACAAAGGATTTAGGACACATCGATAGAAATAAGATTTACTACACACTCCTGCTAAGCTACGACAAGGCAGATGAAGCTGAGAAAGCTCTTGGATTGTGGACCAAAATGCAGGAGGAATCCGTAACACCCAACGATGCTTTCCTTTTGAAATTGGCCGACATGCTGAAAAGGAAAAACATTGATGTGCCGTTTGTGGTGCCAGAAACGCAAAAGGAAGTCAGAACCAAGAAAAACAAAACGAAAGAACAAACGAAAACCGAAGTTAGCACAGAAACAGCTAAAATCCCAGATCAACCCAAAGAGAAGTCTCCAAAGAAGGACCAATCAAAAACTGCCCCGCCACCAAAACCAGTTTCCCATTTGTCTGGTTTCCGCAAAGCCATCCTGGCCAATGATCCAGATGCAGCCATTTCCCACAAACAAAGTTTCCTAAGTGGAGAGAAAGTTGGTGCCTTAGACGTTTCCCGACTGATTGAGCTTTTGGTTCGAGCTGATCGTTTATCTGAGGCCACAAAATACGTTGAGGAACTGCTGGCTGATAAACTGCACCCGCAGCCCAAGATCTTTAAGTTTTACCTGAACAAAATCGCTGCTGCTGGAGATTTGGAAACGCTGGAAAAGATTGGCAAACAGTTGAATGATGAGCAAAAACGTCTAGTTTCGTTTGACAATCGGTTCTGTCATGCTAATATAGTGGCTGGAAAGGCAGACCAGTTCCTGAACCACCTAACAACGGAAATTGATGCAGCAAAATCCTCTGAAGAGGCTACCAAGCTGGCCGAGAAGTTCCCACGCGGAGGAGCGGTGGGCATTTTGGAAAAGCATCCGGAATTGGTGCCGCAATGTAGGTCTTCCTTATTTTTAAATCTAAAAGAAGGTATAATTTATATTAATGAACATTCTTTTCAGACCAAGTCCTGGCTGAGAAGTTTGCCTTCCACAATCAACTGGGACCCATGAATGTCCTATGGATGCATCTCATTTCCAGCGGGGAGGAGTCTGCCTCCAAGCAGATTTGGGATAAGCACCTGTCCAATGCACCAAGGCTGATGTTCCAGCGAGTTTTGCAGACGGCCCGGGAGCAACAGGATGAGAAACTTGTCTCCACTGTTATTTCTCAGCTAAAAAACAGCAAAATCTCGGAAGGAGCGATCGGAAATGCATACTCCTGTTTGATCGATATTCAAACGACTAAGGGTAACTCCGAAAAGGCCATGGATGTGCTGGCCAATGCCATTAAGGATGTCTCTCTGGAGAATATCAATAGGACTGCTCTGCTCCGTTTAAAACAGGCGGTGGAGGAGAAATCCCAGACGTTCCCCTACACGATTCCTGAGAAGCGCACGAAAGCCGATGACTCCAGCTCTTCTTCATCCTCGTCCTCCAGCGACGATGATGTGTCGCCGTCGATACCCGAAACCGTTCCACCCAAACCGGACAGCAAGGCTTAGTGACTTTCAAAATAAGTCCCTCCTCTAGTTTAACCCGTCGTGATTAAAGCTTATTTTTAAAGTATTTACTATGGATAAACAATTTGTAAACTAAAATAAATATAGTTGTTTTGTTGCGAAAATATTTTTTTATATATTTATGAAATTTAAGAGGTATCCGTCTATTCTTATTTCAACATACCTCATGTATAAGATTGTATTTTTGCGAAGAATATGTGAGCAATTTTAAACCGCCTATCGATATATAACGGCGCGTGGGATTTCAATATTTAAAGGCAAACATATGTTTCATATATGTGGAAGATACATTTAGCATGTAAATCATGTTATCGATAACAGCTCATTTTTGCGTCACAATTAACTTTCTCTGATTTGGCTTCAAATGCATGATATGAGCTTGTCCTGAAAGACCTAAATGTCGAATAAAGTTTTATACACATCAGTCGATGAATTTTGAAAATACAGTATTTAATTTATATAAGTTACTGCAATTTTAAATAAGGTCTTTCGTTTGCAAACGATACTAAAACCTCAGCAACCCCAAATTCTAGACTATCGATACTAATGTCAATTGTTACCCAGCTCTATTATCGCCGCGTTGTGTTTTTTGCTCTTACAAATTTTCATCGTTGTTTTTCCAAACATTCTCTCGAATTAAACGCGCCATGGCGGAAAGCGATGCCGAAAGCGATTCTAGTAGCAATTCTAGCAGTAGTGACTCTTCCAGTGGAAGCGAAAGCGACGACAGGAGCGAATCCTCATCCTCTTCCAGCAGCGGGCGGGAAGAAGAAGCAGTGCAGAAAGAATCCGCCAAAGGTACGAAAAAATCTGATGATAAGGATAAAAGGGAGAAAAGTCGTAAGGAGAAAGAAACTGGAAAAGAAGAGTATCAACATGACCAGCGAACAGATCCGCTTAAACACTCCCGGTTGGAATCTAATGAAATTTCCCATTCTGCTGGCGTGGAAAAGCAGCAAGAAGAAGCAGCAGCAGCTGCTGCGACGGCGGAAAGTGAGAAATTAAATGAAGCGGAAAAAGTTGAAACACCTGTCCAACGAAAAGAGGAAACAGAGGCCACAGGTGTGACGAAAGACCTGGAAAATCCTAAAGAGGAAGCAGAAGAACGTCTAAAAAAAGATGAGCAGCCGGTTACCACCAATGGAAGTATTAAGAAATCGCCGGATGGAACAGCTGCGACTATAGTGGAAACTCTCACAACGGACAACCACATTGAGGAAGGGGAAATAACCGATGTAAGCCAAACCATTTCACATCCCACTATTTTAAATGTTTGGGTAGGCTTATGAATAATTCTAGCATATCATTTCATCATCAATGAAATTAAAAGCATTTGAATGATTTGGCGCTAGAATTGATTAATTATTTGTGTAGTAATTGTAAAAACCACTCTATATTTGCACATTTCATATTTTTTAAATTTATTTATACAAATTTAAAGATTAATAACTTAAAAACATAAATATTCTACTATTTTAGAAAGACGACGATGACTTTCCACCTACTAAGGAAAGCGAAAAATCCGCCGCCACCAAGAACAGTCCATCCAAAGAAACCCACCGCCAACGAAGTCCCAGTCAAGAGGAGAATCGACGACGGCCCCGTTCCACCAGCAAAAGTCCTTCACCACGTAACCGGCGTCGTCGTCGCTCTAGAAGCAAGTACAGTAGAACTCGTAGCCGCAGTGTCAGCCCAGTTCGCCGGAGATCCAATTCCTTGGAGAGAAGGCGCCTGGAGCGACAAAAACGTCATGAGGCACGGGATAAACGCGACGAAGAAAGAGCTAAGGAGCGAGAGAAGCGCCATCAAAATCGTGACAAATCCACCAGCCGGCGTAGGGATGATTCGAGGGATAGAAAGAGGTCATCAGATCGCAAACGAGATCGATCCACCTCGAGCCAAGGCTCACTATCCTCCAAAACTGCTCGCAATTCTGAAGCCAATAATGCAGATAATGAAACGGTAACCGAGCCGACTGCCAAAATAACAGAGCGTCAACGAAAGACTGTGGATGTATTGACGTCAAGGACAGGAGGAGCTTATATTCCACCAGCTAAGCTGCGTTTGATGCAGTCACAGATCACAGATAAAGCATCAGCTGCCTATCAGAGAATCGCTTGGGAGGCCCTCAAAAAATCCATCCATGGTTACATCAACAAAGTGAATGTGACAAATATAGCAATCATTACCAGGGAGCTTTTAAGAGAGAATATCGTCAGGGGAAGGGGCTTACTCAGCAGGAGTATTATCCAAGCACAGGCTGCTTCGCCCACTTTTACCCATGTGTACGCCGCTCTGGTGAGCATTATAAACTCAAAGTTCCCGAATATAGGCGAGCTCCTTCTCAAACGTCTGGTCATCCAATTTCGTAGGGCATTCCGACGTAATGATAAGTTGGTATGCATGTCGGCCACTAGATTCATAGGTCACCTGGTAAACCAGCGAGTGGCTCATGAAATTTTAGCCCTAGAGATCCTCACCCTGTTGGTGGAAACTCCTACAGATGATTCTGTAGAGGTGGCCATTGCTTTTCTTAAAGAATGCGGCATGAAACTGACTGAGGTTTCCTCCAAAGGCATTGGGGCCATCTTTGAGATGCTGAGAAACATCCTGCATGAGGGAAAGTTGGACAAGCGAGTACAGTACATGATCGAGGTGCTGTTCCAGGTGCGAAAGGATGGCTTTAAGGATCATCCGGCTGTTGTTTCGGAACTGGAACTGGTGGAAGAGGACGATCAGTTCACACATCTGATGATGTTAGACGAAGCCACTGAAACAGAGGATATACTAAGTAAGTGAATCCATAGTGTATGTACTTCGTATTCTAATTCTTCTATTTTTGTGTCAAGATGTTTTTAAATTTGACGACAACTATGCGGAGAACGAAGACAAATACAAAGGATTGAGTCGCGAGATCCTGGGCAGTGACGATGGCAGTAGTTCTGGGTCGGGTTCTGGATCAGATTCAGATAGCGATTCGGACGGAGAATCTGGATCGGACGCGGAAAAGAAAACCGAAGGTGGAGACATCATCGACAACACCGAAACCAATCTGATTGCCCTACGACGCACAATTTACTTAACAATTAACTCTAGTTTGGACTATGAGGAGTGTGCCCACAAACTAATGAAAATGCAACTGAAACCCGGGCAGGAAATAGAATTATGTCATATGTTCCTTGATTGTTGTGCGGAACAAAGGACATATGAAAAGTTTTATGGACTGCTGGCTCAGCGTTTCTGTAACATAAATAAGATCTATATACCACCCTTTGAGGAAATTTTTAAGGATACCTATCAAACCACACACAGATTGGATACGAACCGTTTGAGAAACGTCAGCAAGTTTTTTGCTCACCTGCTATTTACCGACGCCATCAGTTGGGATGTGCTCGAATGCATACTACTGAATGAGGATGATACCACTTCATCGAGCAGGATCTTCATAAAAATCCTATTTCAGGAGCTAGCTGAGTACATGGGCTTGGGAAAACTAAATGCGAAACTCAAGGAAGACGTTTTGGTGGAAAGTCTAGCTGGTCTATTCCCCAAGGATAATCCAAGAAATACACGCTTCTCAATTAACTTTTTCACCTCTATTGGCTTGGGTGGACTGACCGACGATTTAAGAAGATTCTTGAAAAATGCCCCCAAGGCTGTGCCCGCTATAAATGCAGAAATCCTGGCCAATACAGGAGGGAATCCTTTTAGAGATGGGTCTGCACCCGCTGGGAATTCCAAGGTAGAACCACCTTCGTCCGATTCCTCATCATCGTCATCTTCAGACACTAGCAGCGAAGACTCCAGTGAAAGCGAAAGTAGTTCTTCTAGTGAATCTTCAAGTTCCGATTCCAGTTCAGAACCCAAGAAAAAACGAAAACGCAAGGATAAAGGCAAGAAGAAATTGAAGAAGGTCAGTAAGGAGAAGGCCAAGAAGAGCAAAAACAAAAAGGCCGAGAAGAAAAAGAAGGCTGAGAAGGAGAAACGGAGAGCGGAGAAGGAAAGGGAAAAGGAGAAGCAAAAGAAAGGGAGAAGGAAAAGGAGAAAGATAAAAAGCGCGAGAAAGAGAAAAAGAAGGCAGCCAAAAAGAAATCAAAGCGCAAAAGGAAACGCCAGGAGAGCTCAAGTTCCAGCAGCAGCGAAGACACCGAAAAAAAATCGTCCGAATCCTCTTCATCGAGATCGTCCAGCGTAGAAAGCGACGCAGAGCCTCAGGCAAAGATCAAGCGCCAGGAGCAGATCCAAAAAAACAACAAGTTCCGAGGGCAACCCAAAGACAGTGATGAATTCAATCTGGAAGGTCCTGAATCCAGAGATTGCAATCGTTATCAGTCAAATGGAAATGGCCAGAGACGCAGGGACAATTCCTTTGACAGAGAAAGAAACCAAGAGAATTCTTCATTTGGCAGAGAACTGAGACGTGAGAACATTTCTTATCATAGTGAAAGAACCCGTAAGGAAATGAAATCGATCCCTCACAATAGGCAAATAAGTCGGTATAGATCACTTTCTTATGAGAATCCACGTAAAAGAGAGAAATCGTTCTCTCGAGAAAGACGGATCGAGAAGAGCAGCCGCGGTGAAAAAGACAGCCGACGTGGTGACAGTTCGTCTAAAGATCGTGGATCAGATCGTGGTGAAAAGTCTGATCGTGGCGAGAGGTCAGATCGCAGTGGACGTGATCGTGATAAGGAGCGGGATCGGGAAAGAGGTCATGATCTCAAACGACAACGGGGACGTGAACGAGAGCGTGACCGATCGCGTGACCGCCCACGAAGGGAACGCAGTTCGCAGAGATCCAAGGGGCGTGGCTGAATATAGAGAAAAGCATCGTGGAGACTGGAAACCGTGACGAAACAAATAAAGGCATATGAATATTTGTGTTAACTACTATACTTTTACATGTGTACAAAAAAAAACTAAACCCACTAAATGATAAAACAAAAATAAATGTACAAAATGCAACTTTAAAAAAAATACAACCATTATTTTTATTTACTAAGAATTTTTATTTATACGGATTATAAAAACTTTTCGGCCATAATTTTGAAAGATAGGTAGTTAAAATACACTGAATTTAAATTTTGTTGATAATTTAACACACCATTATAATAAATTAATTCGCAAAATATGTATATTTTTTTTTATGATTATATATGTACATAGTTTGTAATGTGCAGTATTTAGTTTTTCAACCGCAATTTTTATTTCAATTAAGTAATATAACAATTGTCACAAGACAATGTCTTATTGGTTATAAAATACTAAAGCTATTTATAAATCATAAATTTCAACTCAAGTTAAAAAATCTTATAGTATATTTATATTATAATTGAGTAACTGAAAAAAATATTTTAAGAAGCGGTTCACTGTTTTTATATTTTTTTTTCTTGTTAAATAGTAAATTCAAAATTCTCATCAAAAAACATTTTCTTTTTTCACATTCACCTAGCGCAGGGGCTTATAATTTATAAAGTTTCTAAACTATTTTTTAGCCAAAAACAGCTTTTTTCCTTCCGAAACCTGCTGGTTCCTATGTGCGTTGCCAACTATCCTGTTAGCTTTTGATTAGAAAAAAGCTATTTTTATCTTAAATAATTTTCACTGTTGTAATCTTTAAGTTAAAAAGTATAAAAGGTCATAATGTAATATGCTACAAAATAACAAAACACATTTAAGAAATTTTTGAAGTTTTGGTTTGGCTATTTTTATTGTTGGCAACAAAAAGCTAAATTTGACTGGAAAAAGTGGGCAGTCTTGGTTGCCAACCACGCTGTAATGGCCGTCTCGGCATTTTTTAGCCCCTTTACTTCAGTTTCGCCGGGTGCGTCCACACTATTTTCTTTCTTTTCGTTTCCCGAAACGTGAACACACGCGGATTTCGCTGGGCGGATTTTGAAAATTGATAAATAAGGTAATTATGCCAGCCATCCGAGCCGCAAAACCAGTGATAAATACTAATGGACGTGCAAACTGTTTTAATCTGTTGAAAAACAGCCGGCAAGATGACCAAGAAGCGCCGTAATGGAGGACGCAACAAGCACAATCGCGGCCATGTGAAGCCCGTGCGCTGCACCAACTGCGCCCGTTGTGTGCCCAAGGATAAGGCCATCAAGAAGTTCGTCATCCGCAACATCGTGGAGGCTGCCGCCGTTCGTGACATCACGGAGGCCAGCATCTGGGACTCCTACGTCCTGCCAAAGTTATACGCGAAGCTCCACTACTGTGTGTCCTGCGCAATCCACTCCAAGGTGGTGCGTAACCGTTCCCGCGAGGCTCGTCGCATCCGTACACCACCACTGCGCTCCTTCCCCAAGGACATGGCCCGCAACAACCAGAATAGGAAGTAGAGATCTTGTCTAGCCGAGGAGCACTGGGTGCTGCCCCTGACATCTCTGTATTGAGTCTACTTTCTAGCCGGGTTCTCTCATCCGTACTCCCCTGTTCGGATCGGGTGCAAAGCCAAGATAAGCAGACAAAATATATGCATCCAGTACTTTTTTAATATCAAATAAACAGCGTGCTTCATTGGGAAACAGCTACTACTTAAAATACATTCCATTAATATAACCGGGTACTTCCAGTTCAAAAGGATGCCAAGTAATCTTCTCGAGAACTGAAACTGCAAATCTCCATTGTCACTTTATGCTTGTAAAATTGATTTTTAGAGAATTTTGCCCGCTTAAAAGGGCCGGAGCCGGTTTTTTTTTAATGTAAGTCACTAAAAACGTTGTGGAACTGTGAGATCTACATTGTTAAGAGGTTCACGTCTTTTGGTGGACACAATGGGAAAGTGCATTTTAGTCTTTGATTTGTTTACTTCTTATTGCAATCAAGCGTTTGCAAACCAGCGGAAGGGAGGAAACTACTAATAATGTCGGCTGTGCAGATTTCTTGTGATATGACACAGCGGAGTCAAAAGACAAGGCAGATAAGCAGAGAAGGATTTAAGGTTAGTCGCGATAATTAAATAGCGATAAACACATGTTATTTACATATTACCACGTTTGTCTTATCACTTGTAAATGATTTAAAATAATGTTTTTCATCACATTTAATTCCGTGGTTTTTAGGCAGAAGCCATACTCTCCTCACATATTTATTCATAACTATCTCGAATCACTGACGCTTTTCTACTTGTTTCCTGCTCGGAGGTGTACTTAGTCGTGTGTGATATCTCATATCCGGCTTTTCCTTCCAACAGGCAGAAACCAAAGAAGATGGGTAACCCACTTTTAATTAAATTTAATTATTGCTTTCTTTAATATCGAGTTTTACTAACCACCTAACGTCAATATTCGGGTTTCCAAGTCGCTATATAATAGGTTTACGTTCACATATTAAAAACTTTAATTTTTTAAAACAAGTTAATTGTACTAGTCAACGTTTTCTTATTGGACAACTATAAGGCTAATAACCCCTTTTATTTAACTGTAAGTAAAATTTCAAGTAGAAGAAACAAAAGCTTCGCAGTTCTCCCGCGGTGGCGCCACAGTGCATGTAAAATGTAAAACGTATGTACTATTAGATTTTAAGACGACTTAAACATCAATTAAATATTCTTAAACGTTGATAAATGGTTATCATTAAAATTAGGTTTATGTATGTTTATTATTTTAGAAAGTATTTCAGTCATGTACAATTTGAAAGAACCGTAGAACAACCATAATTTAATTATAATAATAACCAACCAATTATAGCAATACCAACGTTATTTAATTTGATTTTGTAAAAATATCTAAACTAATTTTTAAAGACAGACTTAATACTCTGATATACCGAATGTATTTTTTCTCTGCAAGGGTACATCCTTGCATACTGTTTTTTGGCATAAATTACACAGACGTGAGTGCAAAGGCAAATGAGTGCGTTGGTGTGGGCGAGTGGGAAGTAAGACCTGCCTTCAATGGGTCACATGCGTATGTATGTATGTTATTGTATGTGTGTACACTTCCTTTTCCTGCTTACCCTTTTTTTTTCTTATTTTTTCCTTGAGCCGTAACATTTTTTCTTCGCTTTCTGCAGTTTCAGCAGCAGCTCGCTGTGCTGAATTATTGTTTTCGTTTTGCTGGGAAAATAAAAATAAAACGTAGACATAAGCAGCAGCCGTTGATCATTTAGCATAAATTAAATAGAGCCCGCACTCAAGTGCTAATGAAAGTTATGACAAGGATGTGCTTTGCTTGGGTATCAAGTTAAAGACATTTTCTGATTTCTCAAAGGTGGAAAAATCAGAGAACGTACTGAGTATTCTTTTTCAAGAAAAACACAATTATAATGAATATTTTGTAAACAAGAGACTTATTACAAAACTGGGAATTTTAATATTCTGTCTCAGCTTTTATGTCTTGTATTTTCAGCAATCTTTTATGTTTCAAAGATAGTTCCTTAATATCTCTTAAATACCCCTCATAATATCCCGAATAGACATCGCTCCAGAGGTATGGCAAGGCGGGTTCCTCATCATTTCTTGCCGACTTTGTAGCATTATCAATTTCAATCCTTACCAGCTTATCAACTTCCTTAACCTCATCTTGGGAAATTCGTAATTCCTTCACACATACCTGCTGGAAACTCTTAATGGGATCCCTTTCCATTCGAACCTTTTGGATTTCTTCTCTACTCCTATAACTCGTCCCGGGATCTGACATGGAATGACCGCCATAGCGATAGGTTTTAAGTTCCAGTATTAAAGGACCCTTCTTCTTGGCATGTTGGATGGCAAATGTGGTGGCACTTTTAACAGCCAATACATCCTGACCATCAACTTGAATACCTGGCATTTGATCACCCCTTTTGTAATATTCGTTATTGCTGGAGGATCTATCAGAACTGGTGCCCATGCCATAATTGTTGTTTTCGCATATGAAAACTAGGGGTAACTTCCAAAGTAGCGCCATATTGAAAGTCTCGGATATCTGTCCCTGATTAGCAGCACCATCGCCGTAGACAGTTAAAGCTACAGAGCCATCATTTAAATACTTTCCAGCTAAGGCCAGTCCGGCACCCAAGGGAACCTGATCTCCAACTATTCCAGTTCCTCCATAGAAGTTTTTACCATACATATGCATAGATCCACCTTTCCCACCTGAACAACCTGTAGTTAAACGATTAAAATACTTAGTTTTATTATTTTAAATTGAATCAATGATCCTACCTGTTTCACGCCCTGTAAGTTCAGCCAGGACACCTTGAGCTGACACTCCCATCAGGTATGCCCAACCGTGTATTCGATATCCTGAAATGAGTTTTTCCTGTTTGCCCATCGCGGCCCGAATTCCCACGGCACAAGCCTCTTGGCCAGTGTATAAATGACAGAATCCGCGTATTAATCGCTCTCTGTATAGATTCGAAGCTGCTGTTTCCAAATGGCGCAGGGACAGCAGTTGTCGATAGTACCGCAGGGCCTCGAATTTATTAAGGGGCACCTCAATTTTGGGGCCTTCTGTCAACTGATGGAGTTTAAAATCCTTTTGCAGGCGAATAAGTCGGTGTTCATCGGATATTTCGTTTTTGGCTTTTGGGTTTGGGGTATTATTACCTAGAATTTCATTACTTTCCTTGGGAGGCTGCGGGTGTGGTTGTTCCGCCGATGAAGAGTGACTTCTGCGCCGTAGAAAACGCAGGAAAAATGTAAATCCAGGAGGGAACATGATTCCTTTTGTGTTTTTGAAAATTATGTAACTTGTTTGGTAATGCAATAAGGCAAAGCAAACAAGATGGTGCCTACTTATGTTGGAAATGTAAAAAACTGCTCAATATATTCACTAATTTGAAAATTCTACAAAAAATTATTAAAATTTCATAGACTAACGCATGAAAATCCACTTATTCCACTTCAGAAATCATGTTTAATAGCCAGGTACTCAATTTTCAATTCATAGTTGCGATAACTTTTTTGCACTTGCTCACTTTTCCGTTTTCACATTTCCACTTGCCATTGTCTCGCCCTTTCACTTCTAACCCTCAATCGCTCTTTCTGCCTTTCAGGCTCCTGCCATATTTTAACTTTAATTTCCGTTTTATTTTTTTTTGCCCGGTTTGAGCCTCTTGTTCGTTTGCGATTCCAATATCCTTTTTTACTTTTGTTGTGCCTATACATATATATATATATATCTTTTTTTGCGAGTCCCTAATGCCAGGTCCAGAACAAAACACTTTCACTACCTCCTCCACTGCTATTGGAGCTACAGCATTTTTTTATGTCTGGGGTTTCTGTTGTTGGCGACTCGGTGTATCGTAAATAAAAACGTTAAATGTTTTTTTAACGTGCGCCACTTAACACTCGGTACAATTTAAAGGCAATTGGGCACACCAGAGAACAGCAACAGAAACAGCATCAACAACGGCAACCGAGCAACAATGGCCACAAAAAGTCAAGCAATGCACATACAATATATGTATTTATATATAAATGTGTATGATGTTTATATGTCTATGTCATGGGATTCCCTGTATAAAATGGGTGAATTTTCTGATACTTATACCAAGCAACAGGCCAGAAAAATAGTTTATTTTTATATATACTCGTATATATATTCCAAATCCATAGCCAACTTTTGTTTTAGGTACTTTAATTGAATTTAAAAATTAGATAATATTTAATATTTCATATACCTAGATTTTATTAAATATTGTCTATCTAAATATTTATTAATACTTCAAAAATGTCCTTAAAAATATAAACCTTTAATCATGTTCTCCTTCTTCTTATGAAGAAATACATATATCAAAATAAATTTGCGAGGTATAACAGCTGTTTATATCTTAGAAACTACACACTTTCACTTTTTTTTTGTCATTTTGTCTTTTTATTATTATTATTTTGACATTTTGTTGGCTGGCTCGTAATTTAATATAGATTTTTGCCCCGAACCCAAAGCCCACCATCATCCTTTACCAGCTCAACTTGCACTCCCTCATTTTTTATGTTTCAAACAATAAATTGTCAATTGATTTCTGGTCTCCTATTTATGAGACTGCCATATATTTGTGGACTTTTCATTTCTTTTTCCTTCGGTGGAAATGAAAAAGGAGCTTTTCTTTGGCTTTCTACTTACATCTTGTTTCTTGTGCGGCTCTTGATTCCATGTCAAACAACTCGTAAAAAACGCAATTCGTTTTATTTATATACAAATAATCAAATGGCGTTGGCTTTTACTTCAATTATGGTGAAAGAAGGTTGGCGTTGAAATGTGCTCCTGTGAAAATTAAAAATGTTGTTTTTTATGTATTTTTGCTGTTGAACAATATCAAAGTGAAACGAGAATGACGCTTACAGCTTCCTGTGGGGCACATGTAGTACCTATAAATAAATATGATAATATAAAAAATATGTTTGTGTTGAAAAGGAAATGCATAAACATATATTCGCCCCTTCCATTGTTGAGTGTTTATTTTGTGATTGATAAAAATAAAGTTGAACCAGAAAAAATGTTTGACTCTGTTGTTGCTTTTGTTATTTTTCAAGCACTCGATTGGTGTTATTATTTTTATTGCCAATGACAGCTGCGGGTTTTTTTTATACCGATGCCATTACCTCTTCTCACGCCATCAGTGTTCACTGTACCCACGTGGCCTTGGGCTTTTTCCGCTTTTCCCTTTGACCATGGGAAATGTAGCATGTGTCCGCTGAAGAGTGGAGCAGAAATGAGAAAAAAGATCGAAGAGCAATATTTATATGCATATGAAAATTAAGCCTTTATTTGTAATCGAATGAGAGTGTGTGTGGGTAAAAAGGTGCTGAATTTTAATATAGGCTTCAAGGAAAATGCAGAAATGTTTTATTAAAAAAGTAGCTGAAGAGATTTTGATATAAAGCTGTATATTGCAAGGGGTTTATTACAAAATTGATTACCACAACATAAGTAAAAGTATTTTTTAAATTTTTAATTCATTAATTATTGTATTAATATATCGATAGTTGTAGGTAATCCCTTTATAAGTTTATTCCCTTAAAACATCCTTTTAAATTGCTTATTTTTCCTCATTCTTTTGGTAATATCCGGTTCATTTTTTCTCCTGATCAATTGCATTTATCGCACTCAGCTTCCATATTTGCTTTATTCATTCCCGACTCGGTCAACTGTGAAAGTAAATAAGAAAAAAGTAAAAGAAATGAACTCATTTGTTGGCCCAATTGCCAAATGGAACCAATTCATCGATAAAGGGGCGAGAAAAATGGGCGAAAATAGTGGGGAACAGGTGAGCCTTTTCCCCCTTCGTTTCAATACAATTAAATTTCCACGCTGCTTGATTTTGAACGCTTGACGCATTTTAATTATTTTCAATGAGAATGCTTTATGAAATTCGAGATGGGCGGCGACCCAATTGCTCAACATTGATGGTCCCTGATGCTCGTTCCCTGCCCCTTTTTTTACCATCCATCCTGCATCCAGGTTTTATCCTGGTTGAATGCTTTGGCTCTTTTCCTGTGTGTGTGTGTCGCAGGCGGAAGTGCAGCAAAGAAGACGAATCGAAAATGAATGTCATTCATTCGGGTCCTGCATTTCGTGCATGCAATTAAGTCGCTGGCCACCCACTGTTACATGAGCCGGTGGAAAAGTGGTAGGGAAATTGGGCAGGTGGGGTGCCGGTCCAGTTAATTACAATCTACATTGTTTATCGGTCTTGAAACCTCCAACCACTTCCTCTTAACGAATTCCTTGGTCGCTTAAAGGGATTTTTTGACCATTTAACTCCGCCCGTTTCTTGCAGAGCGCATTGCTTAATTATACGAACATTTTTTTTAAATATTTCTCTTTTAATTGTTTGAGGTTAATTAATAATTCAGCAAATTCACTGCAGAAGTTTTTACCCTGCTCCTTTTATCCTTTGTGTGTGCAGTTTTAATGGACCAGACTTGCTAATGGCCAAGGCTTTTATAGGTTCGTTTATATTTCTCCCCGGTCTCTCTCCCCCGCTCCCTCTCGCTCTCTGCCACGCCTTTGTATTGAAGTCTAGTCTGAGGTCTCGACCTGGACAACATCTGCATAATTCTTCATTAACGCGAACTTAATGCGTTTATGGTTAACGCAGACAGCGAAATGATGTTTCATAATTCAATTATCGTGGGGCATGTTGGTTGGTTGCACGGTTGCTTGGACGGGTTGGGTGCTGGGGGGCGATGGAAAATTGCGGTTACGGTTCGGTTTACTGTTCTTAAAGGTGAAAGTGTTTGGGATCGTCAGCAATGTGTTGTTAATTGAAAAAGTTGCAACTGATTGAGTTAAAATGAGGTGAGTGGGCTGAACCTTTTAATTCGATTATTTTCTATATAATTTTTATTATATTTTTTTGGAAATTCTCTAAGTTTTTACAAGCTTGAATTGGTAAAAAGCTTTATAACTGTATGATCCATTACCAAGTATCTCTTTAATAAATTAAATTCACCATCACTTAAATAACAAGCTAACATATTATCTCACTTAAAAGGGGAAATCCCCAAATGGCCTGATAAGAATTTCATTTCCTATGCTATTCACACTCATCCACCGTTAATCCCATCCCCCTCCCACTGGCCATAAAAATTGATACGCACAATCAGAAACCCTTTTTCCAGTTGAGACCTTTCCTTGGGAGAGGGTCAGCTTTAAGGCCCAACATAAACAAGTTAGTCAAATAAAACATTTTGTTTTTAATAAAAAGCCAAACAAACAGAAAAAAAAGAGAGAACCATAAATGGATCAAAGTAAAAATTGGCCGGAAAATATTATGCCACATACACATATGTGTGCGATGTGTATGTGTGTATGGGTTTGTGTGCGTAAGCTTAACCCAAATTATCCACCGCCCGAGGCCTAAACAACGACTTTCACTTACGATTGCGTATACGCAGTGTTGTGTTAAAGAAGGCAAAACAAAAAATACCAAGAATCATGACATGTTTCGGCCTGGCCTCGAAATCATTTATTGCTGTCCACTTGCTTTTTTTTTTGATATTTTTTTTCTGTTGTTATTATCTCATGAATGCTAAATGCCCTGAGCGTCTGTGGGGAGGAATATGATGGAGGGACTTTCCAAGGATTCCCTTATGCCGCCAGTTATGATTACGCAGGAAGAAATTGATATCGATTTTAAAATTATCTCAAATTTTTTTAATACAGTTCGGTTTTTGATCAATTTTAACAAAAAATATTAATTATTAGATAATCAACGAAGTATTTCTTTTCATTTAATATAAGTAGTTATTATTTGTCTTTGTAGATATAGTTAAAACCCTATTAATCTTTGAAATATTCTTTAAACTTTTTTGTATAAACTTTAAATGAAAGTTAAGTCTTTTCTGGCGGTGCCAAATTATAAAGTACAATGTATGTACATATGCAAAGCAGTCTGCCGTGATATCTTCTACAATTTATCATACTGCAAAGTGAGTTGTGCGTGTTTCAAGACTCGTTTTCTCCGACTGCGTGTGGGGGGTTGTTTTCCGGTACGAGACATTATCCACCATCATTATCATCACCGACATCATCATCATCGTGATGGCAGCCACTTGGATATCTTGTGGCTTAGCCTGACCCATTATCCCACTTATGCACATTGAAGGCATTCAGTCAGCCAGTCAGGCAGTCAGTTGGTTGGTCCTTGCGATTCCTTTGGCTTCACGCTGGGTTTCCCCAGTCAGCGCTCGTTTTTGAATAGCGCACGAGTTGAGCAAAGATCCCGTAGAGTCCTGCGTATATATAGTACAGAGAGGCAAATTTAATTTAATTTTTAATATTTAATTTTTTCTTTATAGGAAACATTTTAAGCAATGGAAACTTTTGAGCAAATAAAAGCTCCCAAAACGTTTTCTCAAGATGGTAAATAAATAAAAATTGAAAGCAATTATTTAAATATAAATGAAAGATTATGTCTTATTAAGGTTTCTTCTTAATATACAAAATAATTATATTTCTTTTTTTTTTATTTATAAAAATACAAATTGATTATTAAATATTGACCATATTTTTCTCAGTACGAGTGTGTCTGTGTAGCCTTTCCGTGTCATTGTAATGGCGGCACATCCGTTGCAAGTAAATGCCATTTGTCGAAATAAATTTCCGTTTTATTTAAATCCACGCATAGTCTGACGAGAGGGGATAGGATATGGGTGGAGGGGGTTAGTGGTGGTTAGAAGGACCCCACATGTGGCCAAAATACACACGCACACCAGCAGGCAGACAAAACGGGGCTTAAGTGTATATTTTATTATTATTTGGACTGCCTGATGACATTTGTCGTTGTACGGCCAAAGACCGGATGTCCTTCTGTGCAGGCGCTACCTCGCTCTAAACTCCCACCCACTTGGCTCCCTATTTTCCTAAGCCCTCATCCGCTTCCTCTTTTTTGCCCTCCCCCTGAACCTCCTTTGTGCG